ATATATATTTCAGATAAAAATACAATTTCTACTTAAATATTTTTTTGTAACGATAATAATGACATTAACATATGCCAACAATAGAGCAATTTATTGTGGCAATTCTACTTCGAGTTTTATATTCGAGGTAAGCCACTTTTACACAGAAATGTCATCATCGGCAAAATATTCCTCGATTATATCGACACGAATAATAATATGCGGTACATTCAATTAACAATAATACAGAACAATGTAAAATGCTCGTTTTACCTGAAATGATTCTTCGAACTCATCGACGAGGTTACAGTCGCTGTTGGTCGGCGTCGCCATTACGGTATTATATGTTCTGTGATGTTATATGTTATATCCGGCGCGAAAATAATCACAACTCCGTTATCACGATTGATTACCTTGATCTCGGGAATGCGCGAATTTTCCCCGCACGCAACATACAATCCCTTCCCGCCGATTTGTCACGATCATGTGTTATGTCGATTCAAGCTGGCGTCCCATGAGCGGAAATTTACAGCGAAACGATACAGCGCAACCAATCACAACTCTACAATTATTGGCAGTCATTATTCTGCTTTCTTTTCTGCAATTGTGATTGGCCTCGCTGTTCCGTTTCGCTGTAAATTTCCGCTTATGGGACGCCAATCTCAGACCATCTATAATGAAGACAGCTGATGGCGCTAATTGCTTCATCTCTTTCTCCAGTTCTCTTCACGATGATAGGAAAAGGAGGAAAGATAATGAAAGAGATTCAGTTAAAAAGAATGAACTTGCATTAGTACTGTCTTCAATATATGTAATCTTACAATGTTATTAATATCTTAAAATCACAGTAAGAATTGATAATATTTTTACATCATGCTTTAAACGATCTTAAAATAACCTATAGCCGATATTTATGGTATATATTTATATGTATGTATATATTATATCTTCCGATCTAGAAGTCGCCATCTTATCAACCAAACTATTCCACACATTACACAAACTATCAAACACACCTGATTTACTCAACATGCTCCACAAATATTTAAAAAAATCTGTAAAACTAACAGTCCTACAACTTCTTCTGACCTTTTCATCATTCACAAATCTTTCCAACTTCTTTCCAGCCCCATAACGTTCTCTATACGCTATACAATATATAGCAACAACAGCATCCAACAATTCAGCACTAGGAACACGATTAACAGCACGAATATCGTTACCATTAATACACATTCTCGTATTGAAAGTTAAAGCAGCTGAAGCAACTTCATTCAAATTGAAAGACTTGTCTCCAGATCTAATACAATGTCCCATCAAAAGGTCACAAAATCTTTTATCAACTTCAATAAACTTCCGCTTAAAAGAGACAACAGAGTTGCCCTTCTCCTTGAACTTACTCTCAGAATAAAACCCATCCAAATACTCCCACGTAGATATAACCACTCTATCTGAACTTTCATTCCAAAAGGAAAAGGTCAATTCAACAGACATACTAATGGGAGGCACTTTACAATATGTAAATTTCAAAAACAAATTACCACAACGCAAATGATTTCTTTCAATCAAATATACTCTTCCAGATTTAGTAACCATAATTTGCTTAGTTAACAATGTCAAATATTCGTTCAAATCATGACTAACTTAAAGATGGATCTCCAACAAAACTAAAATAAATCCTCCCTTGTCTCTTACGGAAGCTCACTTTCAAACTTTCAATCATTCCTTCATCCTTATAAAACACGCTCACATCAAACAACAAAACACTATAAACTATATCAAATTCATACATATCAAAACAATCTTTCAAATCCGCCCAAGAAATATCATACTGCGAATGAATCATCATACCATACAAAGACTTTATTCCACACTTCTGAGCAAGATTAAAACACCTACGTTCACCACCCACAACATAATCATCATAGGTTTTTTTTTAAACTTTCCCTTTCTGAACCATATCCATCAACTCTGATCTCCTCTCAGTCTCTCGGGCAGAATCACGCACATCACACACAGGATTGCAACAATGAACATTAAACCTACCTCTCTTAATGTGCCGGATATAATTAGCATCAATATCAACAAGGAAAATCTTCCCTTTAATAACAGAAGCAACGTTCACTTCATATCTCAAAAACTTCAAAATCAAAGCCTCAGCACAATTCCGAGTAACAGCGGGCATAGCATGCGGATGATTCACCTTACCTGTCACCATAACATTTAGTTCCGGGAAAGACTTTTGCAACAAAGCTATATTCTGTGCTGACAAAGAATAATCAACAACAAACACATCCTTCTTACTGTCCACAAACTTGTTAACCAACGGTTTAAACAAATATTTAACTTCAGAAGTCGGTTCCCTAATCATTTCCACCAACTGTTTTCTCGACGCATCAGCCAAAGCAGCATTCATATCCATACCGCCCGTTTCACACAATCGCGAAAAAGCAGCAACACCTTGATTCACTCTTATAACATTATCATCATTGTTAATCAAACCACCTATTCTAGCTTTACTGAATAACATATTATATACTAAATCACTAAATCTAATAATATCTTCATTAGGAAACACATGATACATATTAGAAGATATAGGTCTTACCATAGGTACATAAAAATCAAAAGAAACTTTAGAAAACAAATATCCAAAAATCTTACGAACTAAAGGGTATTTACGAAACTTACAAACTATATAATCTAAGTCAAAAACCTCCTCTGCACTCGCCGTGTTATAAGCCCTAAAAAGGTGCAAATAACAACAACCTGCCGCGAAACACATTTTCTCCGAGTATACAAATACTCAAAGTCACATGAAATGAATTTAACAATAAACTCACTTCCTCCGAATGAATCTAACAATAGACTCAAACAACTAAACTTCAGAGCAGACCGACAACGATCCACTTCTAAACTCAACGCTAATCTGACAACAAACTAACACACACACACACACAAACGAATCCGATTAACAATAATCAAATCCAATTCACTACAAACACCTCTTGACATCCATGTAACGAATATGATATATATTTATATCCTCATTTTAAGGATATCCTGAGTGATGCTTAAGATGCTAATACAATCTTTTGATTGGCTCATAACGTCTTAAGACTGTACTTAAAACAATTTCAAATATAAGAACCAACTGCATAGATATTTTCCATTTAGTGATACAAATTGACAGAAGTGTCTTTCTATCTTTGTTACTCTCTAAATAGATCAAGAAAGATAGAATGACATTCGTGTTATTGAATGAAAAGCACCCTATAAATACTGACCTATAACTATGTGTGGACCAGCCTTTATATACATACATTTGTCCAGGTAGTCCTAAAAGTACTAAACTAGTATAGCAATATAATCCATCTAATACTATTTCGTTATTTCATGCTCATGATCTCGCGAATTTTGCCCAGATTTACTGATTCTTGCCGATTCTATTGATCTTAAGACGTATAGGATTGAACAAGGTTGAATAAACTACGAATATAAATCAGGAATTTTCGAACATTTCATTTTGTGGTGAGTATTCAGAAATTGTCTAAATCATATGTAATTGCTGAAAATGAAAGTCAACAATTACAATTTACATATATATTATGAATCTCGAAAGTTTTAATCTTACTCTCATTTTCTTCTATTCTAAATAAATGTTTTTGCACTTAAAATCCCTCCCCCCTCCCTTCCTGAACTATTCTATTCATATAATAACATTAGAGTGAAATAATACATATATTTTTGTTAATTTTAGGATAGAAAATTTAGAATAAAGAATATTTGAGGAGCAAACTTCCAAAATGCATTTTGTTCAAATTTCATTTTTTTTTTTAATTAGAGATGACATAAGCTACTCTACAATGTTCTGAAAGTATTTTTTTACCATCAATTTATATGCTAAAAAAAGTCTAGATATTCGAAATATATTATGTCTTTTAATTTAAGACAAAAATATAATGCATTTGATAAAATAAAATGCATTTGATTTTGTTTAACATTGTATATCTTATTGATTGGCAAATTATTATTTTCTGTAAGGCATATGGTTTTCTTGTGGTTTTCTTATTCGCTTTCTGAAAATTATAAGTTTTAGACAAAATGCATTTTGAAAGTGCTCCTCATTTAGAATGAATGAACTTTAGAATAAAGGATTTTTTTAATATAGAGAAAATCAATTATGATGGATCTCTCAGAAACATCAAATGAAATTGATTAACTCTATGAAATAGAGGGACTAGAAAAAAATTAATGAAATTACAAATTAATATGTTAAAATTAAAAAATTTACTAAAAGTAGAGTTCATCAGCTTGACTTCTAAGAGGTCCAAATATTTAATTTAATTGGATCAAATGCTGTACATAATTGTATTTGATTCATGCATATAAATTATATAAAATTTTAATTTAAACAGTTTTTTAAGAATAAAGCAAATTATAGGATAAAGAGCATAAATGCCAACGCTAGATTTTATTAGGAATTAAAACATTATAAATATTTGTTTAGTAAAAATATATTATATTTCACAATGTGATATAAAATATATATTTTATATCACATTGTGAAATACAATATAACAATAAATAAATGTTTATAATGTTTTAATTTGCAATAAAATGTAGCGTTGGCGTTTATCTATTTATGCTTATTTATACTATAATTTGTATTTGTTTCATATAAGATTTAGATACGTGATATTCAAACAACATAAAATTCATTAATCTCTTGAGATAGTATTGTAAGTACAACAATGTTTTCTCAAGCCTAAGTGTGTTGACCGTCGTTTACGGGATGGACAGTCAGGTATGTGGAGATGGCAGGCTGATAGATGTGATCGACGAGGGTTGGCGCAAGGAACGTCTTCCCATTGATGACATCTCGACGCCAGTAGCTGAGCTACCTGATCCTGAAAGCGACAACGGCGATTCTCATATGACATTGAAGGAGTTGGAGCAGAAGTGGAATAATCTGGCATTAAGCTCTCTCAGCGACAATCATCTGCATTCTCCAACACCACTACATAACTAGATATAACTTTCAGTTTCTCTAATTGCCAGAAAACACAATAAAGTCGATTAATTTTGATTTGTTGTTGCATCACAATGGAATTTCCGGAGACTGGTAAACATTGCTCAGTGAAAGACTGCAAATTGTTGGACTTCTTGCCACTTGTATGTGAGCATTGTCAAGTCACTTTCTGTAAAGATCATTTCAATATGGAATCGCATAAGTGTTTGAAAACAGAGAACTCAAAATCTGTTGTGGAACAATCGGCAAATTTTCTATGCTCTAAAGAGTCTTGCAAAGATGCATCACCCGTTGAGATGCCTTGTATCAAGTGTAAAAAGCATTTTTGTGTAACACATAGACATCATGGATGCTTGGAATTGAGTGAAACAGAAAAGACACAGAAACTGAAGAAGTGGCAGATACCAAAGAAACAATTTGCGGAAGCAAAAGCTATAGTAGATCAACAGATTGCGGACAGTTTGAAGAAATCTAAAAATGTAGCATTGGCAAATAAAGTATGTTTTATGAACTAAAAATACTTCTATATAATAAAAGTATGAACGCAAATAAATTCTTCTATAAATTCAATCCTCCTTTGCTTGCAGGTACAACTCATGCGTGTGAAATGTTCTGCAATTGGTCCTAAAAATGTACCAACGAGCGAGAGAAGTTACTTTCTTGTACATTTGCCGTTGACAGTAAAAAATAAACATATAGGCACTTCGAAAGGAGCTTTTGTCAACACGAACTGGACAATTGGCAAATGCATAGATTCAATAGCGGATACACTTAAAGTTCCCAACAATAATAACACAACCACCACGAATAAGTTAAAACTCTTCCGTCATTCTACCGGAGATCTAATATGTAACAAGATGGATACACCTTTAACGCAATTATTTGAAGATTTAGCTATTTTTGATGGAGAGCGAGTTATTTTAGAATATTCTGATAATGTACCTGATAATGTAATAGATTCATCTTTATATAAATAAGTATTATATATATAAAATTTTTGTTGTAATGCAATTTGAAATTAACAGATAATAATCCACTAACTGCACAACTATCGAAATACAGTGTACTTTATGCTACTTATGATTATATAGGCTTTTATATAATTTGATTTATCCATAATGGCTAAAAAAACACAGCTCTTAGAATAATACTTGTTTATTACAAACTAGAAGGTTTTATATCAGTTTTACATTTATTCTTGACAAAGAGACACTTAAATGCGTTAAATAAATTATTTATACCAGATTATTGTCAGATTTGTTTAAAATAAAAGAGTAACAATATTCTGACTTTGGCACTGGACGTTTGTCTCATACATATGAGTTACGCTAATGCAGCAACAGAGAAGTATAAATTAGTTATATATTCAAATAATTGTGCGCTCATTCATAGTTTCATAATACAAATATGGCATCGCATACACTACAAGTGAATGAGAATTACCATTAATAATTATCAGTATTGTAAGTTCAACAGTGCACGTACATCCACTTACTTATAGGATAACAATATGCTTGTAAATATTAATTACAAAAGAAAAAGAAGTAAAAATTGTTTATATATGTATTATCTTAATAATTAAATGCATTTTTATGCTTAATAATATAGAAAAAGAAATACAATTCGATAATTTGATTTATACCTAGCCTAGTAGAGCAAATTAATTTTTCAAGATTAATTTACAAGATGATATTCATATCTAATCTCAAATTCATTATGTTCTAACTTACATATTTTAATGGAACGTATGCGTGAAAATGTGTATACAACTATCGATGTTATCTGAACTCTCATACGATTCTACCAATGTAATTTAATCTCGGTTTAACTAACTCTTCATCTTTTTTTAATTTTAAGAGTTAAAAAAAGTAAATTAAACCAAGATTAAAGTTAATCTACATTAATAGAAATGAGGCATCGGTCCCGGAAATAACAATAGATGTAGCAAACTTTAAACCGGAAAAAAAAACAAATCCTAATCAATAATTTTCTTCATATTCGACTGTGATTGATCGATATCTTATGATTTAAAATTTACTACACCTATTATGCTTTATGAGATTTATGAAATAAGCTCCTATGTCACTTGTTAAGCCCGGATTTTCATTTTCTGGTTAATTTATGGTTAGACTTTATATTCACTGGGCCTTATCTATGATGTCATGGGTGGAAGTCCATTGAGTGAAACATCAGATTAAGCCTAACCACACCAAATAATGAAAAATTAGGTCTTAATAGTAGTACATCAATATTCCATTAAAACAACTCTGTGTCAATATGCTGAAAATGATGAAATTATATTGTACAATGTAACGAACTATCTCGCGTCAGAAAGACAAGATGATATCAGATCTGAATATCTTAATTTAAGCAAATTGCCTCTATATATTGCACAAAGTACATCAAAATTGTAGTAAAAAGAAAAAAAATGCAAATTTAAAAATTGGCTCATGGAAGAAATAACATTCGAGAAACGAATATTATCATGAAATACAGCGATTTTTCTATAACATTATTATGTAACTAATGCAATGTAACACATCGTAAGGTGTTCATGAAATACATATTACAAAATTTATCATGGAATTAAATCTCTCTCACTTTTGTCTTTAATTCGAGTTACCACACGAATGCATTAATCGTGTCCCGTGCAACATTCACAAGAATATGATCACAACACGTAACTCGCCGATGCAAACGCAAAGTATTTGAGTCGTGCAATTAACTACATAAGATAAGCGAAAAGGTATATTTTCCTGAGTATTAAAAAAAAAGTTTTTACGATTGTAAACGCACAGGACACCATTTCTACACCCGCGTGTGTATGCAATCTTTATGCAAGATTTTTATCGATGCCTCTTATCACGAACGTATCCTCTAGCGTACGAAGAAGGCTTATCGATTGCCGATGACGTATTATCCTTTACTCACATATATGTGAAAGAAATTCTTGAAATAAAGGACGAGTTTGATGAGGGACAAAATGCACAGTATGTATAAAGAGATCGCGAAAAGGACGAGCAATGCCATTCGCGCGTTTATATTTGTCTCTGTGTCCTGCGAACCGCGCGATCGTCCGCCACTGGCCACCTGCCTGTTGGCCGCAGAATGTATCTGGTAACGGTAGGTGGCCTGAAGTCAAGCTCAGGAATGCCAGCGGGACTTCTGCAGCTCGATCTGACCCTCCAGTGTTTTTGCAAGGTAGATCACAAAGAGCTGGCTGAGCGCAATGCCTAAAGCAATGCCAGCTATAGTGTAGAGATTACGTTCCGCCCAGCTACGTACAATTTCGATACATCCACTGGTCCACACCTTTTTACTCGCTTCAGACACTGGTAACATCTGAACCTTGTAGCCGCACATTATATTTACAAGTCCGCTCTGAAAATTGAAATTATCTCATTTGTAAAATTCTCATTAAGTTCTTTACAATATTTTAAGATGATTATTAGCATTATTATTAGACGCTCAATTTAATTGTAATATTATTTCAACTACAGTTTATGATTAGCGTTTCGAATAATAAACGATAATAATCAGCGCACAATTTAAATAATAGGAAGATATATTTAAAACTTAGATATAAATATTAGGCATCAAGATTTAGCCTTGATTTTTCTTTTGATTTATCTCAGTAATGACTATAATTAAAAATATCTTTCCAAAATAAAATATCTTTCAATTATCTTTGACTTTCTATATAAGTGCAACAAATAATATACGTACGGATATATCAGTAGCGTTTATGCAACAAGAGAACGGTACACCACAACGTTCTACACTAGGGCTGGTGCAATTAAAATATTCATTCTTCCCCCAATCTAAGTATCCTTCTTGACTCAAACCACAACACTTGAACTGCAATATAAAATTTTATGAATATTTCACTCGCATGTACGAAATTGAATAACTTGTACAAATGTAAGACATGTGTTTTTATTATTATTAATTATTTTATTCGTGATCTCTTTACTTCTTGTTGGCCAAAATCGATGAAATTTTGTAGATCTGGATCTTCTCTGTACGTCTGAATTATTTTGTCCGTGAATGACTCTTCCAAAAGAGATTGCAATGTGTGCGGGAATACAAAACCAACGATCGCCACACCCATCTCCAAGAGGAAGAACACCAAAAGACATAGCGAGTACTAAAAAAATCATTCAGTCAATCAATCACTTATTTTGTGTCCCTTGTAGAAAATATTTTGTACACAAAAAACTAACAAATTTGAGAAGACATGTATTTTCACGAAGGGCTCCTACGCATCCTGCAAAACTAACAACAAAGACTACTCCGCCAGCTATCAGCATCACGAGAGAAATGTTCAAGACCACATCATAGACATTTTCCACCCTGACAGATCCAGTTGCTTGCCATTTATCCACAAATGCATAGAGACCTACGCCGATTAGCAATCCACCAAACAGCTAAGCATAAAGAAAATTATTTTTATTTCTCATCGTCATATATGTCTATATCATTTCTATATTATCTTCAATTTTTATTCTACTTCCTCTAATATCCAGACATAATGTTGACAGTCTGATATCTAAATTTAGCTGAGTTACCGGGTCAGTAGATAGTAGATTCGAAATCAACACAAACATATCTTTTCCAACAAGCTTTTCTTTCAGGACACAGTTGACACAAATGTCATTCTATCATTCTTGACATTCATAAATAAAGCCTAATCTATAGTTTGCTTTTTGTGCTTTCTGTTTACTTTTTATTACATTTTACCTCTTGTCTTTTTGCCTCATATCATTTCTTCGTTTTCTGTCACTCAAGATAAACTCTTAATCTATAATGTACACTTTGCTTCCTCTTTTCTTTCCTTTTATTTGCATTTTTTCCTCTTTGTTCCATTGACAATCGTACTTCTTGTCATGTGTTTCTTATCTCCTTTGAAGTTTATTATTTTATCACAAGAAAAGATAAAGAAATAAGATAAAAGGCAAAAGTAATAAAAAGTAATAAAAAAAGGAAGCAAAGAAAATATTGTAGTAAAAGTTGACGAACTTGGAAAGAAACAAAATTGCAAGAAACGTGATTATCGATAAAACGACCGCAAAGAGGAAAAAAGAAATAGAAAGCAAAAACACATAATAAATTAGAATCAAGAAAGACAGAACAACTTATGTTAACTGTATCTCTTAAAAGAAAAGCAGCCTTTATCTTGTTTTAGAACAAATCGCGAATTTCATTTGCGTGTATACAGCATAGAAAGAAAAGCAGAAGAACGAATCGCTCACCCAAAAGACGAAATTCAGCATGAAGATCATGTACTTCACGCACGAACTGACGTACGTGAAATTGTTGCTACGTCTGCGATGATTCATCATTGTGTGGCGGCGAGTATGACGAATCTCTCAAAACGATTGATGTCTCCGAGAAGAACTCTCTGTACAGCGTAATTTGAACGTTCGTATCACTCGTTATCTCCACTCACGGTGATGAGGGACAACTTGTATCGACACATACTTTAATAGTTTCTACCCTTTCCGCCATTACGAACGTTTTCTCGTGGTTTTTCCAGGTTTCCTAAATTCACAACGGTTCTGCGTTCCTGCGTTCCATCGCGCAAGTTCGAAATCAGCTGTCCGGTCCACGTTCCGCGAGGATACATAGGTCTGTTCGCGTTGCTATCATTTTTTGCACTCAATGGGTGCGATCCACTTTAGGGGCACAATAAAAGAAACAGGGAACAGAAAATAATACTCGTATTCATAGTCAGGCCTTATATTTAAGGCCTCCTTAAATTTATCTTTAGATACTTTACAAATTATTTCATTGACTGCTGAGCATCTAAAGATAAATTTAAGGAAGCCTTACGTACAAGGTCTGACTATGAATACGAGCATAAGAATTTCAACCTATCAGAAATTATGTATTGTAAAATACACAGTTTCTGATAGGTTGAAATTCTTATTCTCTGTTTTCTGTTCCCTATTCCTTTTATTGTGCGGAACCCCTTACAAATGCTTTGAATTTTTTACAAATTGATCAATAAAGAGTGCATCCAGAAGCACGACTGCTCATTGAGTGTTCAGTGAGCTCTTGTACCTGTTTGGTCTATATTTTTAAATCTAATGGTCATGCAAATACCCTAGTTTCCATCGAGGGTTTAAATTGGATAAGAATGTAAAAACCAACCAACAACAATCGAGCATTCTCCTGTCATTCGACTGTAACAAGGAAATACTCGACTGTAGTTGGTTGGTTCTTACATTCTTATCCGGTTTAAATCCTCGGTGGAAACTAGGCCATTGATAGCACCACCGCCAAGAGCAGGTTTTAGATCTGTTCTGTTTAGTTATAAATCATACCTATAATTTTTGCACCAGTTCATCTTCCTTCCTTTTTTCTTTAGGAGGAAAGAACAAGTAGAAGAATGAACTGATGCAAAAGTACAGCTAAAAAGAATAGGCCTTTTATCTTCTTTTAAGTTTTGGAGATTTCAAGCAACGCAAACAGATCTATTAAGCCTTGTGTTCACAATGTTAGAAATCGGTCCAAGATTTCGGATGAAAAAAGAATTGACCAATTGCAATGATCATGTAATCAAATTGTTCAAATGTGATTTGTTAATTTTTTCTCTATTTGAGATTTTGGACTGATTTCTAGCATCGTGGACATCGGGCTTTAGACTGAAATCAGACTACGCATTGAAAAATGAGATTGAAGATTGAAGTTTGACCAATCAGAACAAAAGGAGCCAAAATTTCTTTGTTCTCATTGGTGAAATTTCAATCTTTAATCTTTAATCTCAATCTTTAATGCATAGGCCTTAGGTCTATTCGATGTGTTTACACTTTTTATACTTAGCATCTTCATTTTCTCTCTTTTCAGTGCCAAATATATATCTATCTTATTTTAAATGTAAAAAGTGTAAAAAAAGTGTAAGTAAATCGAACAGACTTGAGACATTCTTCCGAGTAATTGCACAGTTGCGCGTACATTCATACAGGCTCGTATTCGGAACGCGCTTACGATGCAGCACGCTACATGCTATAATTTACGTTACGCGTACTATAGAATTTTAGGCTACGTTCCAAAACTTCCTCTCCGAGGAAGATTTTACTCTATATGCTATAGTATATGTTACATATACTATATATTTTCAGTAAAATTTTCCTCAGAGAGGAAGTTTTGGAACGTAGCCCAAGAAATAAAAACACGCTTTTATCCAGAAGAGAGCGTTCTGAATATGGTTCACAATATACATGGAATGAAATTCGTTTTCTGTTTCTTTTCGAAGAGTTGTGACAAAACGCAGTAACGAATTAGTCGCAAGTTGAAGTTGCGCATATCTTGTAAATTGCTCTGAGCTTAAAATTTTTCAGAAAAAAGAGCAATGGCATCGATGCAGGACAGTGAGTTCAACTTTTGACAAAAGATGCTTTTATAGGTTAAGATAATTGTATTGAGTTTCAATGCATATTTTGACTTTAAATGAATAGATTTCAGACAATTTTATTCTATACTTGTCGTTACTTCTGGAATTCGCTGGTTTTATCTGCTTTAAAATAAACAGATATTTGGACAGATGTCCGAAATGAATTAACGATGTTACTAACCTATACCACCAAACAAAGAATATCAACTTAAAAGAATTTTACTTACTAAATTTTGCTTGTTTATTTTAATTGCATTTTGTTTTTAAATGTAAAATATTATATATATAAAGATGACTTTTAAGAGAAAAAGTAAGAAAAAAGTAAGAAAATAAAGAAAGGAATTTAACTAAAACAAATATTGTATATTTATTTTAATATTTGTAGTTCTAAGATACTTTATTTAAAATTTTTATCTTACGATAACTTACTAAGTGTATGAGATTAAAGTTAATCGAATTTAATCAATTTTGTAATTTTTTTACATGATATTTTCTATTATGATAAATGATATTTCTGTTATTTAATTTTTTTATTTGTATGAAAAGTAGTTAAATGGTATTTAATTAGAATTAAATTAATTTACTTTAGCATATATAAGCCAAGAAGAGATAGATATTTAATTAAAAACATAAATTTCAGGAATAAAATTCAAACGTACAACCTCGAACTGTGACACGTGGTCTACACGGGAACAATTATGTCTTGCATCAAGTGTACTAAAATCTGGGGATCAGAATTGGATAAGTGTATCCAGATCATTGAAACCGTTTGTTGAAAAAGAACCATTGAAGCCCACAGATTGGTTCTCGCCAAAGTCGTGTGCCATACAATATGCGTGTTTACTGGAAAATGCTGATACGCCAAAAAGAAAGAAGCGAGAGAGCGGCGAGACCACTGGTGAATCCATAGTCAGAAAATTGACACAAGAGAGAGTAACTGAGTTGAGTCAAATGCTTAACCGTCAGAGGGAAGAGTACCTACGACTCAAGACAGATTTGAATCATTTCAAATCAAGCGCAATAAGCGACGAGAAGTTGGAGAAGATGTGGCTTGATATACAACAGGAAGAACGTGAGATGGAGCAAAAGACACGGACTCACATGGCGTGGCTGGCGAAACGTCAACAGCAACAAAAACAAGATATGAGTTCACCATCTATCTCGACTTCAATTGTAACCCAAACTCGCAAAGCAGTGGAAGGTACAACAGAAGTACTGCAGGAATCCACTGCGACGGAATCATTGGTGGAGAACGATGAGGAAAAGAAAACTAATAGGGGCGGTAGATCTCCATTGTTGACGAGTCTATTGAAATCTCCCAGTCCAACGACTCAGACTGTGCAATCCTTTCCGTCCACTCCGGTTCAAGTGAGTTCGCCGACCATTACCAGTCTGCTTGGATCAAGTCCTAAAGCACTAAACGCACAGATGACACAAAAGGTATCGCCACAGTTGCAGCAATTGGTCTCGACGGCTATAGCTAGCGCGAATACGACACCAGAACGGCCGTCCGTTGGCGCTCCTACACTATCTATGCTGTTGGAAATGCCAGCGAGTACGCAGAGAGGATCCCTACCAAATTTGCAAACGACAACTCCCACAACGAATGTATCCCATGCGCAACAGCAACAGACAACCACAATTGTGGCTGCTACCTCCGAAGTGCACAATTTCCAGCAAGCAGCTCAATCGCAAACTCAAGTCCAACAGGCTATCCAGAACGAAGCAATGGCAGCAACGACAATGTCAACAGTTCCAGCGACCGCCACCACTTCGACAAATATATCAGTGTCAGAGAATATACAGATGCAGATAATTGATCACATAGACGTGATGCGTAAAGACATAATGGTGGATGTGATGGATAAGGATGAGATAAACGACATCATCGGTGACATCGAGGAATTGATCAAGGAAGAGATCAAAGAAGATATCCCCAATAGTCCACAGACAATAGACACAAGTGGCTCGACAACAACGACAACGACAACGGCAGTTATCAATAGTCTCACCAGTATGCCCCAACAAGCGACGGAAGTGTTAATACCTACAACAGGACCAAGGCCGCAACCGAGAGATGTGGATGAGGCTGTGTCGCTGTCCGATTCGCCACAAAGCGAAATGGCAATCGAGGAGATTGATTCTAGTACTTCAAATATTGCCGAGATTATTGGAACCGTCGCCATTGATTCACAAGAACCTAAAATTATTGTCACGGAGATCACAGAGACCATACCAAACACATCGGAGACCAAATCCGAGACAAGTACGTGTGAAAAGAGGACGACTTCGATGGAACAGCTTGTTCCAAAGACAGAAATCAAAGATGAAGAAACTAGTAACGATACTTCAATAGAAGAGAAACAATCGGACGCTGAAACAAAATCCGTGGGTGCCTCATCGAATGTAGAGATCGAGAAAAATAACTCTAAACTTTTGGGCGATATGAAGGAAACCATAAACGAGACTACGGAAGACGTGGAAGAGGAAGTTGAAGAGGAAGAGGAAACGGAAGTCACTGCGCCTATTTACAAAGAATCATCCGATAGCGTTAAAGAGCAGAAGGAGCCTCCAGAAGACATTGAAGGTAAACATAATGCGGGATTAGATCAATTAGAAATATATTTGGCGAAAATTACAGGGGATCAGCAGGACGTGCCGTCCGCGGAGATTGTGAGCATTTCTTCAGAGATGACGAATGATCTACCCAGTGCCGAAGATACGGAAAAGTCGCAAGATATTAGCTTAATCCTAGAGGACGACGAGAGCAGTCAAAGCACGGAGAGTAAAAAGAAAGCGGTGACAGAAGAGCGGATTGTCGAAAATACGGTTGAAAACACTGAATCCTTAGAATTGTTTAAAGAGGAATCGATAAAAGAAAAGAATGTTGCAGAGATAAAAGAAGAATCTTCGATAAAGTCACAGACAGAAGAAACGAACGAGGAAACGTTGGAGATAGGCACAGAGCTTAAGAAGGAGAAGATTAAAGATTCCTCGGAGGATGCTACAAGTTCCATCTTGCAGGATGTAGAAGTCAAAGAGGAGGAGACCGACAAAGAACCGACTGATGAAAACGAGGATACTAAACAAGTGACCGTAGAGGAAGTAAAAAGTGTCAAAAGCGAGCCAGTCGAGGCTACGACTACCGATGCAGAAATACACATTAAAACGGAGAGTGTAGAAGTCAAGTTCGAAGAATCAAAAGCCGAAACAGAACCGGAAGCTAGCGATTCGTTTTATAGGAAGAGCCCGCTTCACGGTTCATCGGAGGAAGATAAGAAAGAGAAAATGGAAGTAAAGGAGAAAAAAGAGGAAAAAGAGGATGTAAAGAAAACCATGGAAGGCGAGCAGAGCGTAAAGAAGGAAGTAGAATCTACAGTCGTGGAAGAACCCGGAGAATTAGATGAGGAGGAGTCATCGTTGAGCAAATTGAGTAGCAACCGAGCGATGAAGACATACTCCAAAAAACAGAATATCGCTGTGGACAGTGAACCAGAAAATGAGAGCACTGGAGAGGGCGCGGATTATCGTGCTTGGAAGAAAGCGGTCATGCTCGTCTACAATCGTTTGGCCACGCATAAATACGCGTCGGTGTTTCTCAGGCCGATCACAGAGGACCAGGCGCCTGGGTATCATTCGGTGATTTTCCGACCGATGGATCTATCAACCATCAAAAAGAACATTGACAACGGCACAATTAGGTCGACCATGCACTTTCAGAGGGACGTCATGCTTATGTTCCAAAATGCGATCATGTACAACAAACATGACACGTTTATCTTTAAAATGGCAGTTTCAATGCAAGAAGAATGTTTGCAACATATGCAGGCAAGAAAAAGATTTTGTTTATTATTCATAACTCTAATTCAAATAATATACTCTTTTTTGTTAATGACTGCTGGTGTGCTTATTTTAAAATGTGTTAGGAAATTGATTAGAAAGGAAAGCAGTATAATACTAGTGAAAATATTAAAAATATGTTTGTTTTTACATCACTCTCAGTACACATTTTATCATACTCTTTAAAGTATCTTCCTATTGTGTATTTTCGAAAATAGTAGAATGAATAGGATTTTGTTTATCTGAACATGTCAGAGGACAAAATAGTTCCAATAACGGTTCGGATAATAGAAGTTGATTTCTACCTCTACTAGCACTTATTAGTTCTGATAAGGAGCTGACGTTCAGAAAACTGAAGTCAAGCCTGTCTAGCTCTTATTATCCGAACTGTAGTTTTCTACTAACTGTAGTTTTCTGGTAATAAGAACTTGGCTAATAGTTCGGATACTTAGAACTAAGCATGAATTTGTTTGTATAAATGTTATGTATGAGTGTTGATAAACGAAATTCTGATTATCATTAATGTTGTTTAATTTCAGATTTTGGTACAAGCAACGGGAGAAGGAACGTTCCGAAGGGAGACTAGAACCGCTGCGAGCAGTAGTAGCGAGGCGAACGAGAATAGCCTTAAGCGGAAACGAAGTCACATCACTCCGAGTCCCCACGATACTGACACTCCGCGCTCGAAAAAACGCAGAAAATCCGAGAACGATTAAACTAGATTAACAAGTTGTATATAAACATGTAAAAAAACACGCGAAGAAAAAGAGAAATGTGGCAGAGAGAGAGAGAGAGAGAGAGGAGAATAGAGATATATTTTTCAGGCATTGACAAAATGTACCGACATCGTATACGAGAATAAGTGATACCTAATGCCTACGAAAAAAGCATATGTGTAATATATAGAATCATTATACAAAGTTAATTTATCTCCCTCGTATTTTGTGAGGCCAGTTATAATACTCACGTGCAACAATTCGTCGTATATATACAGTATATATAGTTGTGAAATATTACAAAGTGATATCTTTTCAATTTTACTTTTTCATCTGTGTCTTTATCTTCAAAAAAATAAGAGATTATATCTAAAAAAAAAAAAAAAATAAAGCAATCAATTTCTTTTGCTGCTAAAAATATCGACTGCATTGTTTTCTGAAAACATGAAATAAACAAAAATTAGTGAGTTTGTCGGAATTAAGTTCATAACAAAATTAATCCGTATTGTAATGAATTTGATATCTGATGGTATCTCAATATCATGAAAAAAACACTACACATCTCGTATAACTTTTAACTGTCTGATCGATTATCTGAATATACATATATCGTAAAAATTCGCCAGTATGTTGAAACAATAATTGTAAAATGCGATAAATTGCATGTCATAGTTACAACGGCATTCGACTTGTATATATGTAAAATAAGAAGATGGGATATTATTGCGCTTGGGGAGACGCGAAGATGAAGGGTAGCTCCGAGGAGGAGGGTTATGAAAATCGTGTCACTGACATTGGAGAAAAGAGAAGAGGATGCGCCTCGAACACCTATGGAGAAGCTGTGAGCGAAACATGAAAATAAATAAGTAGTGCATGGATAATGTACAAGCCATAGAATGATGTTAATCATTTAAAGCCACTCGTTCCGGCTCCACCAATCTCGGATGATACTGACCGACAGTTCTGGGCGGAGGATGAGCTGAGCAGCTCAGAGTCACGGCAGAGATTAACTACAAGGAGGAAGCGTCGGCATAGCGTTTCGTACAGGAACCGCGCCGCGAACAAAAGTCGATCTCGCGCTCTCCGTTCCTCGAATTCCAGCTCTGATTCGATTCATGCGGAGATCTCGGCTAAAGGTAAACTTCAATGTATCTCCCTTTTATACGTTTTATTTTTCATTGACATGCATTGCGTCGAAGATCGAAAGCTATATATATGGTAGTTTGATAATTGCTAACTAACAACCCAGTAAACACCAACAAACAATAACATAACACCAATGTTATAATTTCATATTGAATAATATAGTTTTTAATGTTTTTATGTATGTGTTATAATTATACTGTTATAATTATACTATTTGTGAGATTATAATTAAATTATATTTATTACTAAATTATATATATTATGATAATTATTAGTTGACGTTTCCCTTATAAAAATTCAATAATAGTTACTGTACTTTTAATATTTAAAATAAATGATTAATTGGTCAATATTAAATTTCTATAAGAGTTAATTGGGAAATGAGTTACATGATATTAGTATTATATTCCTTATTTTATAATATAAATATAATATATGTAGTATGTAACAGTTATTGTGGAAATTATAATATTGATATAATGTTACTGTGTAAATTGGCGTTTACTAGGATATTTAATACTTTTAATACTCATAACGTAACATTATACTTAACATTATTCCTTAACATTATACTGGACAGCACCCTTTTTGAATGCGTAATTATTTGTAGTTTGCAGAATACGAAGACATTGGTTGAATCCTAAAATAGAGAAACAATCAAGAAAAGCATCGTACATCAGTACTGAGGGAACTACTTGCACAATGAACAAAGTAATCTCTTCAGAACATCAGGCTGCATCTACTTCTAACTCGCGCCTCGAGAATCATGAATCAGTTTTGTGGCGAGAAAATCATTGTCAACAAGCAGACAACACATTACGAAACGTTAAGAAAATCCATCTGAAAAAAACATATGATTCACCTAAATCTAAACCGAAATAAAACTACAATGTTCCAGTGATTATCATAAACAGAAAATTTCTTCATAGAAAAATTGTGTATATATGTTTCACTTCACCATTATAATGCATACTAAAAGCTGTATGAAATTAACAAAGTTAAATATAAAAGTATATAAATACTTTAAACAATTAAATACCTAATAATGATACTGTCATGTTAACAGAATATATATATGTATTATTTTCGTCATGCATTATTGTCATGCATTTATATAAAGGTTTTTTATTTTTTATATAAAACATTTTAATGTACTAATCCACTGAGAAAAAATATATCAAATTTTAATAAATAATTGTTTGAATACTAATATAACATTTATTTACATCTTAAAAGTTATTTATTAAAATAAATATTTGCTAAATAAAAAATACAATAGTTAAATTAAATTAATAGTTCTTGTACCAAATAAATATATATTTACATTTAGTAAATATTCAACTGGCACTATTTAAATAAATATTTATTAAAATTGAGTACATTTTTTTCTCTATTTGGTACAAGAACTATTAATTTAATTTAACTATTATATTTTTAAATGTACCGAGTTTGAATGATCAAATTTATTCATAGTTTTTATCGCGCCCGTTTCGATACTCTCGATTGTTCTCGCGGCGCTAAGCGGAAGCAGAAAGCAGGACGAAGAGCGTTCAATTGTTGATGCACAAAAAGAGCGGCGAATCCGCGTACGACATTTGCGACCATTTGAGACTGATTTGAGTCGGTCTTTCTGGTTTTCCTCCGGTTAGGCTGTGGAAATCTTCTCGACGACGATGAGTTATTTCGTAAACAATGACTGGAGCAAGGGCCGATATCAGGAACTGAGCGATTCGCGTGTACGTGGTGGTAAGTTGGAACTTCGGACGTATCTATTTGAAGAGATATGTGAGATGAATGTACGATTCGCCTTTGCTTGCCTCGCTGTCGATTGAATCACTTCTTCTAAAATATATCAATTATCGCATATTACGTTCTATTTTTTTTCGGTGTTACGTCGACAATAGCCGTTGATGACCGTCTTGCCGCCATACTTGCCGGGAAATTTCGTGTCACATGGTCATATTTCAAACGTATATAATATATGCATTTGAGTAACATTTTATAACTCTTTTCATTAAATTTATTTCAATTGCAAAAAAATTAATAGTCTCAGAATTATAAAATAATAAAAAATATAAGAAAAATATCAAACACAAGCAAATAATTAGGTCACAAATTAGAAACTAATTTAAACATCAACAATAAAGAAAACAAAAATTAGTTTTTCAAACCATTAAAATAATGTTTTGATTTACAATCATCTTTAGCTAAATTAAAAAATTATTTAATTACATTTTCTTGCGGTTTTATACAATTAAAAATACAATATTTTGTAAGAGTAAAATTCTTTATAGTATATTAAAACTATTGATCAAAAGTTATACACATGTTGCATATAACTTTTTTATTTCTTAACATACCTTTTTTATTATTAAATGAATCTTAACTTCTTTCTATAGCAGGTCCAGCTGTACGTTCTATACTCTGTTGCACTGCATTGGGTCTATGCTCGACGCTGTTGATTCTCTCATTATGGAGCTCCAATATCCAAGTTCCAATCCGCCTCTATGTATTCCATTTTGACAGACAGCAGTCTGTATTACATATCGTTTCCGACAAGTTCTTGTCGTTCGGTCTCGACACGTCCTTACTTCGAAGAATGAATGAGGTACCTATTGGACAACAGAAATTTATCAATTTGGCCCGTCATTTAAGTCCTGCTTATGTCAGAGTGGGTGGAACCTCTGCGGATTGTCTGACATTTATTCAGGATCAGGTTGGTTTGCAAAATATAATATTCTTCATAAGTAACACATTTGTCATGCAAACTTATTTACTTTTTCTACCTATTTCGAAATTATAAAACATAATTAATTGTTATAAAACTGCTTGTAGATTTAATCTTAATGTTTTAATGCATACATGATGATTTAGATGGAACCAAACTCGTCCGAGAAGATCCTTAGTCCTGTGGATGGCCAGGATATCAGCAACTTTACTATCTCCGGCACAGATTTGCTTGCTATCTACGATTTTACAGTGAAGTCGGAGTTACGAATGATCTTTGATCTGAATGTATTGCTCAGAAATCCAAATGGATCTTGGAATAACAGTAACGCACAAGAGATTATTGCATTTACTAAAAATCAAGGCATGACATTAGATTGGCAATTGGGAAATGGTAACTATATAAATGTGAAAAATCAACTATGTAAAATATGATTAACATATAAATTAAGATTAAATTAACAATAAATTAAGAAATTGTTTGATAATATCAGTATAAATATTAAGTTATCATAAAGTATGTATACATAAATAGAATTATATGCGCATGTTAGTCCCTAATATTTATATCGACAATGTTTTTAGAACCAAATTCCTTTAAACACGTGTTCAATGTGACAATTCCTGCGACCGAACTTGCGAAGGATTACGATCATTTAAGGCAATTGCTAAACGAAGCAGGATATGTCGACAGCATTCTCGTTGGACCAGAAGTTAATCACGTCGGAGATTCTAATGAGATGGGAGAGCTGTATGTCAAAGCATTTTTAAGTAGCCAGAAGAATACTGTAAATTATGTCACTTGGCATCAGTATTATCTGAATGGACGAGAGGCTAAAGTCAATGATTTCGTGGCACCTTCCACGTTCAACTGGTTACCAGCGCAAATCAATTCCATGAGACAATTTATTGCCGAGTCGGGGAAAGATGTTTCTATGTGGTTGTGTACGTATCTTACATTAATATTAAAATATTGGACATTACAATATCGCTTTTCCGCTTTTAGTTTTATTCTTAAAAAATTATTTTTCTAAATTATAATACTATTTATACATACATAAATCTCTAATATTTTTTCTTTAAAACCACAAATTTTCTGATTTTATATTTTATAAATTCTTAGGATAGATTTCTTAACAGAGAACATATTATTGTATAGTACAAAGACTGCATTTAATAAAAAAATCTAATTTTTTTTATAGCCGAAACCAGCACTGCATTTGGGGGAGGTGCACCCGAATTGTCCGATAGATTCGTAGCCGGATTTTTATGGTTGGATAAATTGGGATATAGCGCTAGTGCGGGATTAAACGTCGTTACAAGACAATCATTATTCGGCGGGAATTATGCTATGGTATCATCGAATCTCACACCCAACCCTGACTGGTGGGTTAGCGTCTTTTACAAGCAATTTGTTTCGGAGAAGGTTTTGAAATTGTCGAGGCCCGACAATTTCGGCTGCGTACGATTGTACGCGCATTGCACGTCGAAAAATGCGCTGATTTCCAGAGTACCAGCTGTCACAGTCTATGGAATGAATATAGACAAAACTGCGGCTTACGTACATATTCCGGAATTGTTTGTACAAAACAGTAAAACCATGATTTCGTATTATTCTCTAACCGCTGATCATTTGCAGTCGAGGTATGTATGAAATGATGAATAAAATTCTATAATAATAATCAAACGAATATTAAGCCGAATGGATAGAGTATATTGAATTATATTTGTTTTGCAGTGAGATAAAGCTGAACGGCGAAGCTGAGGCACTAAAACTGCGACCAAATGGTGATTTGCCGCCGTTTCGACCTGTGATATTAAATCCTATGAATCCCATATTATTACCACCATATTCTATGGTGTTTATGATAATTCATGGTATCAATGTTCCTGCATGTTCGGCATGAATAAGTTTTTAAAAAAGGCGACAAGTCGATTTTACAGGACGTTTATATTGTATATATTTCTTATACATTATATTAAACATTTATATTATAACTTATGTTACATACTTTTTTACAAACTCTTATTAACAAGGAAGCTTATATAGACATCAGAACCGTTTACAGAAGACGCGAAGCCGTAGTAGAAATTTATTTATCTACCGTGTAACAGTTCTCAATTTACAATCTGCTTTTTTCTATCATTTCTGATATAACAAATATACATTGCCTATTACAAATAATATGTAGCTGTATGTGATTTCACCGCAAGTTCATGTGGCTATACAATTTCTTTTTCTATTATATAATATATTCCTGTGTTTAAAAGAACACTTATTATTCGTATTTTTATTTAATGATATATATTGTGCTACCTCCATTCGAAGGATTTTTTATCCTTTTCACAAAGACTGAATACTAAAATAACAGTTCATAACTATTGTATCATACAAACAGCAAACAGCTCACAATAGCGAACAATTATAAATATCGAAAGTAATATTGTACAAAGGAATGATATTTATATATCGAGCGAAAGTTCATAATGAAAGTTCGTAATGAGACTAGTATTATCATCACTACTCAATACTTTTTCGGTTTTTGTGGAAACATGTGACACTCAAATTAGAGAACTTAAACGTTCAAGACAACAATCATCACCGTGAACAATCGACATGATCTTATCTGATAATAGATTTCGCACGAGTATTCAATACCTACAATTGCATTATAAGTTCCATTATTATTATTATTACTATTCTATTCCGCGCTGGAAATCGTGATAGTTTTCCCCTTAGGATCATCGAATCTGTCCATTGTGCGAATATCCATGATCATGGTGAGCGCCCATATCATGATCAAGCCTAGTATTACCGTCACGAATATCCCTGTCCAAATTGGTATACTTGTAAAACCGACACAGTCGTACGCGTCGCTGAACGTTGCATCTTTGTAATCGACCTGTACTTGCATATCCGTGATACTTAAGAACGTGGTACCGTCCGTGAAGATGGTTTTCGGTGAGCAATGATAAGAGAAACCGAACGAAAAGGAAATGTCTCGGTTGGTGGATAGATTATCAACTCCATTGGTCGTCTCGCAGTTCACTTTATTCAACGTGTAGTAACCGACGCTTTTGACCTCGAAGAAAAACTCGAGCGTTACACTGCCGATGGTCTGATCGGTGAGCTTGATAGTCAAGATAGTCACCCTGCTCTCATTGCCCTTACGAGACGACATATCGACGACTTTAGATTGAACAAGCTGCACTTCTGGCTTGTCAGATATCTGCAATGGCACAATACTTTTTTTGTATTACCTTAAATTTTGTTAGCCTTCCTAAATTAATTGACATCGAATAGGTTCATGTTTTTTGTAAATTCCTTCTCTTTTATCACTTAATACATAAATTATAAAGAGAAAGTCTTAAAACCTGAGAAATTTGCTTTAAAATTTCTTAAGCAATATTAATATTTTATTAATGTTATTTACTTTGAGTATTAATGGTTGAGCGGAATACAATAGAACATTGTCTGTTTTTATCTTGAACTCTGAAGTAGAATTGTCCGCAAGCGCTTCTCTCTTTATTCGCTCAGTGTAGCTGTAACGACACTGTTTTCCAGTAAGTGCTATGCATCCGCTCGAATCGATGTCCTTGAGAATCATGTTGAACTCATGATCATTAATATCCTCTATTATTATCTGTTTATAGATCTTTTGGAAGCTCTCGTCGGACAAAACACACGGGAAATAAAATATTTTGGAACCATTAGTGGCATTTGACAGCACCTGCAACATTTTGTATATTTATAACAATTTTATTTTATGATTTCTGAAAGAATCTCTAAAAGAAACAATTGATGTATCTGTTTTTAATTCTAAATTTCATTACTGTATGCTTTTCATTTGACGATGCAAGTGTCATTCTTTGTTATCTTTCTGAATATTAAGAAAAATGAAATATTTGTATCAACTTGTATCACTAGATAAAAAGCACTCAAATATATTAAGACATATGAATGCAGGAAAATACATTTGTAAATCATAATGAAACAAACTAAAATAGTCTTGTTGCTATTAGATGTTCAATGTAAGTTTAGGAATTTCTTTCTTGTGTAGCTTTTATTTTTAAATTATAACAAATACATTTCTAGAATCCACAGGGGAAGAAAAGAGTGCAAGAATATAATTCTAAACTGTCATTATTGATATATATAATACATTAAAACATATGCATGTAGAATGGAAAAACCATGTAGATCATAGCGAACAAACTAGTCTTACTACTATTAAATATTCAATGCAAATTTGGGGATATTTTCTTGTATATCTTTCATTTTTAAATTATAACAAATGTATATCCATAATCCAGAGAAAGAAGAAAGGTGTATAAGAAATGAGAGAGGTAACAGATTAAAACTTAGTTAATTTTAGACAATAGTATTGCAAGAATGTTCTACTTTCTATCAAAATTCTCAATTTTATTTTTGTGTTGATTACATTTAGTGTGCTGTTTCTATTGAAAGTAGAGACTTTGTGAATTGAAGTAATGAAAAGAGTGCAATCAAACGTATTTCTATCGACTTATTTTGGTTCAACGCTGCTTTAAATGTGAATGAATACTTTGGAGGAAACTATACACTAGACTAATGTGAACCAGATGCAATCGAAATTCGAGATTTCTTTCCACGGATTCTTCCTCCGTTATCTTTTCTTATATTCCTTCTTAAGGCCCAGTTTCACAACTCATGGTTAAGTCTTAATCGAGGTTCAATTTATTCATTGTCTTTCCAATTCTAGAATTAAAAAGAGATGAGAAATAAGTTGAACCTCGGTTAAAAGTTAATCGTGAGTTATGAAACTGGACCTAAGACTCTGATAAGCATCTCTTTTGTAGCCGCAGATAAATAGCCAGGAAGGGGCGAAGAGAACTAACCTTGCTATTCCGCAGATCCTCGACACATAGCTCTTCAGCGACGATCGCTGGCTCGGTAACGTTCAACTGCGACAGGATCATTTTGAACTCGTCGGAAGTCAGCTTCGGACTCGACGGCATCGTTCTGTACATCGCATCATAGTCGGACGAATCGTGCGAGCACCAGATCACAGCGGGCGTGCAGGCGTAGGCGAAGGCAAGCTGACAGACGGCGAACAGTGCGAAGAATGACACATGGACCATATTGCTCGGCTTTCCCGTGCCTCTCGTCATCCTAGAAGTCGAGTTGAGGCCAGGGAAACGAACACAAATTCACGCTGAACCGTACGCACAGTAACTGATTCAATGGAGCAGAAGGCACTCCGAAAGCACCTGACTGATTACCTCGTGACGCTGATTCGCATCACGTGGCCGATGCACTTCCGGATTTTGAAAAATCGCCCCGCCTAGATGAGAACGTCGAAGTGCTCGAAATTATCAAGAAAAAAAGGGAAAATATTCTTATTTTTACTTTTACTGTTATAGTTATTATTATTACTGTTATTTAAAACAAGATTATAAAGGGTATACACCACTACGCAAGATATTAGAAGCGAACAATATATAGATTTATTAAATTTACTATTATTATTATTATTATTTTACTTGATTATTTTGGAATAGGTATTGCATTTTCAAAATCACTTGAGAAAAAAAGGAAAATATTCTTACTATATTGGTGTGCGTATATATTATTGTGTATGTACGTTGATTATATTATTTTTGTGTGTGTATATTAATTGTATTATTAACTCTTACTTGCTGTGTATTCACCCTTAATAAAGTGTTTATTATTGTACTATTTTTGTTGTACTATTTTATTATTGTTATTATTATTATTCTTAGTTTTTGGAGTAGGTACTGCGTTTTCAGAATCATTTGAAAAAAAAAAGAAAGAAAGGAGGAAAAAGAAAATGTTCTTTTATATATATTATTATTATATTATTATTTTATTATTCCATTTGATTACTTTCATGATAGAGGTTACTTCGGAACATGATGCAAGTAGACATGTCTACTTGCATCATGACTTCGGAGTAGGCATTGCGTTTTCAAAATTATTCGAGATTTGATTTACTTCAAGTTAGTCGCATTTCAAAATTGCGTTGAATCGCTATCTCTTCTTCGGAAAACGTGGGAAGAAACTTACGAAATTTATTGTAATCATGGTCAACGTTAAAAGGACTCAAACTGTTATGTACTCCGTAAATATTATTATTATTATTATTATTATTAAGTATTGCGTATTATCGTATTGAAATTTAAACGATTCTGTCAATTTCATATTCAGGGTTAAAATATAGGAAATTGTGACAGCGATTTTATTTAATATGTATGCAAAAACACACTCGAGGAGTAAATCATCCTATTGGAATTTTCAATTAATACTATATTTATTCATTTCTTATTACTTAAATATCTATTATTATATCTAGCAACTTCAGCCGTGGAGTACAGTCGGCGTTTCACCGTGTATGGAGCAGGTCGCAGGTCCTCCGATTCCAACCAGAGTTGGAGAATTTTACAGGACTCCAAGGCCGCATCCCTGGCGACCTACTTTAGGATATGAGGTCGTAGAAGTGGCTCCCTTGTGAGTAATTTACTACAGTTCTAACATTCACTAATGCATAAACTTCAATTTAAAAAAGTAAAAGATGAATAAAATTCAATTTAAATATCTACGCTATTTTTAACATAAAAAATCAAAATTAATTTCTTTTATCCAAATTAATTGTAATTTACTTAGGCATGCACAGCCAATAACGAATCTGTTGGTGGATGCTTGTCGCACGACATGTGGATTAGCGACAGAGCCGCTAAAATTTCCAAATTTGGTGACCGGTTTTGATCGCAATCCTACGCACGCGGCACGTGCTGCGCTTTACACGCGATACACTCCATGTGATTGGATGCAGAATGAAATCAAACTCTATAATGAATCGAATGCGAATAGATATTACTCTGAAAAAATGCGCAAGAACAATGCATGCTTAATGCGGTAGGAGTATATTTTTAAGACTCGAGTCGATTTTTTTTAATCAAATTATTTAGTGACGTATTAATTGTTTTAACATTAGCAAAGTCTACCCTTAAAATTTTTTATTTGTTATATTTGATATTCTATAAAATTATAAAATAATTTATAAAAAGATTAAGAACTTGTTTACAGAAAATTATTCAATGCATAAAAATGCCGTTATATTAAAACTGATTTAATTATCTCAGTTATCTTAAAAATTATTCGTTAATAAATTATATCATGATTTAAATATATTTCTTGAAATATATTGTTGCTGTGATATTTATTTCAGAGAAGTAGACGAAAAGGCAAAAAAGGGACAAATAGAGAGTGGTCGAAAACTCGGGGAAAGAATCACAGATGTTACTTTCTGGCGGAATGAGGTGGCATTAGAATTGGAGAGATTAATCGTAGAAAACGGTAAAATGCAGGATAGTCGTCGTAAATTGCAAACCGTAATCCAAAGTCTTGAAGGACAGTTACATATTGCGCAAGAATGTCTTTATCATCGGGAGTCGAGAAAAGGTTCTTCATTTTTTGATATTAGACAATAAAGAGACTCAATATTGAGATTAAAATTGAGCAATCACCATAAAAAAAGATGAAGAAATGAAAGAATATTTTAGGATTGCATCACCTAGAAGGCTTAATTAATTAATTAATATTGATAGGCATTGATTTGGTACATGATGAGGTCGAAAAATCTCTGCTAGAAGAAGTTGAAATAGTGAGAAACTGTGAGAAAAAATTGAAACAGATCCTGGAGAGATGTATTAATCAGGTATGTCATATCGATAGTATGTGGTATCAACCTTGAAGACTCTCTCTATAATATTTTTCAGTTAAAAAATGGTAGAGCTGTGCAGCATCAGCTACAGATTGATGTACAAAACAAAGAAATAGCCCTGGGAATCGATAACGTGTGTCACCAGATGAACAATTTTACTCGAGGTCTACAATATTACGGTGGTATAGAAAGATACGATCCCAGGTAATTATGAAAGCTTTCATTTTATAATCTATTTTGGGAGAGATGGAAAGATTATAAAATGAAACTTTTTCATATAAATTGATATTTGTATATTATAATAACACATTTTATTTTACTAAGTAAGATAAATTATTTGTTCTTCGTACACTTTATTTCTCTACTGACTGGAGCTATAACAACTATGTTTATGCAGTGTTATTGCGCCTGAATTTTGGGCAGAAGCGACAAATTGTATAGTGAAGAAATCGCAGATGGAACGAGCAAAATCGCATCGATTGCGAAATGATATTGACAATGTTATAAATGCGGTAGTCTACGAAATATGCGAAGCTTGGGCTGAAACCAATAAAGCGCTGGACAGACGAATTGCCGAAATGTTGGAAGCGAAAGAAAAATTACAAACGCATTTATATAAGGTAACATTTTTGTTAACAAAAAATTGGGATGTAAGATCATAGTAAGGGTGTGTAAATTTTTATCAACATTATAAACAATGTGAAAAATTCAGAAAACAATTTGAAAAATTGTAAAATCTTCATAACGTCTTTAGATCCTTCTTGTTTAAATCTTATGCATAAGATTCGATATTATCTGTATGTGGACATTTTAGATTCAGGGAGAGATTTTTGACGTCGAAAAGAGTGTAGCATTAATGCAAAAGACTATTGCCAATAAAAGTCCAGTATTAAAAGTGGCGCACACGCGACTGGAGGCCAGGACGCATCGTCCGGACATTGAACTATGCAAAGATGATGCCCAATTCAGGTTTGTTAAAATCATTTACGTGTCACTATTCAGATAACAATATTTGCGTACTTTGTAGAATAAACAAAGAAGTAGAGGATATTAATAAAATAGTGTACGGTTTGAATATGAAACTGCAACAATCTGAGGCGCAACATCAGCAACTTTTGCGCACGAGATCTAATCTGGAAAGCAATTTAAAATCTAAGATAGATGCAGTGTTCATTGACAGAGAAAAGTGCATGGGACTCAGAAGGAGTTGTCCGATTTCGTCGATTGTGAAATACTGAAGCGGTTAGAGAGATTACAATGCACATAAAGTTTTTACAAATTTTATAATATGCAGGCTATATATTCATATTTCATTAATAGAAATGCTAAAAAGTTTTTGCAAGATATATGAAGCAAGATGTTAAATTAACAGAATCGAAAAGAGAGAAATTATTAAATATATATATATATTTTTTTTTATAATTATAAAATATATATATACGCATAAGATTATTTTTATTAAAAAGAATTATAAACATATTTCTATAATATATAGTATTATCTATTTATTCGTAAAAATATTTTATGATACAACCAACTTAGAGCTATGATTTAATTTTGCATCTATACAGTTCTACATCGTGAAACAGGATTTTTAAGTATTTCATTGTGAATGTAAATCACGTATATTTTTAGGAACATTCACAAGTGATATACTATATCATATCTTTTTTTATCTTTCTCCGATAAAAGAAGTTATATACAAGTTGCACGTACTTACATATATATTGTAGTACACATATTACAATACTATATGTATTTATAAGGTTTATTCGCATTGCTTGTACTTTTTGCACTTAAAATCTTAGGCTTCTTTCCTTAAATCTAAATATATGTTTATGCTACATCTTGTTTTAGATGCAAAAATTTGGGGGAGATTTCAAGCAATGCAAACAAATCTATATAGTTATATGCACTTAACGTATGTCCGACAATGTTCGCAAGAAAAAAAAATTGTTGGACATCAAAGCTTATGTATGTGTAATTAATGAGATTTTTTTATAAAAGATATAAAAAAATAATGATTCAAAGACTCTTTTTAACTTAAAGTAGGAAATATCACCATATTTTAGTCCATATTTCTGACCCATTTAAAAGCAGCTATAGTATCGTATACATTTTTCGTTGCCGCATCCGTATCATAATCCTCTTTCAAGTAAAAAATTTTAATGTTCTCTTGCATGTGACACATCAGGACATTCCATTTTTCGAACAGTCTAAAGGAGTTCTTTATCGGATCGATGCATAAACTCTCTCCTATTAAAAAAAATGATATCATTTTATATATAATAACAATTTCAGTCTTTACAATTGAGTGATTCCAAACCATATACATTATTTCATTTATAAGCGATCTTGTGTTCCCAATGGAAAATTATGTAGTTAACAATATATTCTACATTACATCCGAATGCCACCAGAATCGCGTTGAATTGTGTGCGTGTGTGTGCTTGTGCGCGCGCGCGCGCGTGTATGCGTGTGTGTCCATATATATATACATACATATATATATATAT